GTAAGACTTCTAATAAAGGTAAATTGGGCTTCAGTTGGGAACTATATTTGCGACTGGAAGTAATACAGGCTGTAACTGCGTGCATTTAATGAATTAATTGGGAAACGCTTTCTTTTCACGCGAAACGGCCGGTTTTATCTGACGAACGTCCAACGGCAAACGATTTAATTCGAAATTGTTTTTCAGGCATTTTATGACGTTAACACGTTTTGACACACCATTTAAGAAAAAAAAAACAATTGGCGACAATAACAAGGGATTTTTTTAACAAAAAACAGTTTTTAATTTTAATGGACGTTGCGGTACTATACGGTCGATAATCACGACTAGTTTTAGCGAGTGTAGTAACGAAGAAATACGATGAGGAACCAAAAAGATATGATGAGGAACAAAAATAAAGCGTTGATGGAGAAGGCGACTAGTTCGTGACGTGTGATTGCATTAGCTGTTGTCAAATCTTCTTGTCCTGTTTCTGGAAATGTTTTTTGTCACCATCAACACTGGCACCACAGGTGCGCAGCGGAGTTGTACCATGGTTCGTGCATGTTTCGTCGATGTACAAATACAAACTTTGTCATGCAAACTTTTTACAGAAATCCAGGTTTAAAATTAAGAACATTTAGGCCACTGAAAAAATATGTCAAAGTAACAGCTCGCCACGCTCGGGTGGACTCCAATGAATACCGTATTTCCTCGAATAAGCGCCCACGGTCTAATAAGCGCCCTCCCCCGAATAAGCACCCACTCCCAAGGCCATTATATCAAACAAGCACCCCCTTCGAATAGGTGCTCCCCTCCCTACTTCCCTATTTTTTAAATAGTAGGGATACAAGGAAAAACTGTATCTATTGCCACTTTATCTGTAACTTTTTAAGCTTCAACCAAACATAATCAGCGTGGGTTAATAATTTCTAAATAAGTGCCCCTCACGATTAAGCACCCTCCTTCCGACATGTGCCCCCCAATTTAGCCGAAATTTCAAATTAACACACGGGCGCTTATTCGAGGAAATACGGTACTTAGCCTTTTTACTGGATAACTGAAGTTTACGATCATAAAATGAGTAAAAGTAGTAATGTCATCTCTTAGGAATGAATTTGAATTGTTTAAAATCATTTTTCTTAGTAACAAGTTACTGGGGACCCTGGAATGCGTGGAGTAAATGCAACGCGACGTGTGGTCCTTCATTTGTAGTCCGTAACAGAACATGCATCTCTAAGGTGCATCTCTAACCACCCTGTCCAAGTATGTATTGAGGGAGGGGTGGGAGGGTATTGAGGGAGGGGTGGGAGGGTTCCAAGTATGTATTGAGGGAGGGGTGGGAGGGTTCCAAGTATGTATTGAGGGAGGGGTGGGAGGGTTCCAAGTATGTATTGAGGGAGGGGTGGGAGGGTTCCAAGTATTTATTAGGGAAGGGGAGAGACAGGTGATATCACAATTTTGTCACTTTTCGTTTGATGTTGACAACTAATCAATTTGCAATGAAAACTTCAAAATGTCACCCTTTGTATATGTGTTAGTCACTGCTGACAAGCACACCTACAGAAAGACACATCAACTGCCCGATAGACAGACAGACATATTGTTTATGTTTACAACAAGAACCGACCAAACCATCGACACGGTATTCAAGTTTCCGTTGCGATTAAAATTATTTTCAAGATCAATCAATTCTATCCGAGACGCAGAGCTTGTTTATGAGGGATCGATTTCACTAATGATATTTTCAGTATTTCGTGCCAAAACATCACTCCATCGCCAATCAGGTTATACTTTGTAATTGTAATGATGAAGTAGCCATTTGCGCGAAAGTATTTTTATCTCTTCGCCACAATATTTGATTTCGCAGAAAAAAGGTTGTGAATAATTTAATTTGTCGCATATCAAAGATGATGGCGCAGCGATTGGTACCAAAACCAACACTGATCCGTATCACCTCCAAAGACGCCCGACCCTCCTGGCTGGCAATGGAGGTCCCTGATGAAATTTCACATAATCATCTTCTCACCTTCCTTTTTAGATGTTTTTCTTTTTTTCTAACTTCCTTCACTAATTTTTAAGGGAGTTTACAGGTTTCCTTCCTTTGTTATTTCATTCTTAGTCGATGGTGGTTGGTCTGACTGGGGTAACTGGACAAGGTGCTCGGTGACTTGTAGGAATGGCACACAAATACGAACTAGGACCTGTACCAATCCTCCTCCGCAGTTTAATGGCAAAGAGTGTCAGGGGAAACTGGAAGATGGAAGACCTTGTATGGAACAAGAGAAATGCCCGAGTGAGTTTCAATGATTTTGATTTTGTCGTTTTGTTAACTACTGAGAACAAGCACATGGTTTTGGATGCTACAGGGATAAGGTTCGAAGGTTTAATTGACTGTGAAAAACAAGAAAGAGTCAACGCTTAGTAAGTAAGTAAAACACGGTTGGCCTGTCAACTGAGCTGATTTCCACAGTTAGGGACCTATGGTTAGAAATACTGAATTTAAAATCCGAATCACTACGTTTAAAAAATAATCACGTGAATCTAAGATGGTGAGAAGGTATAAGTGTTAATTTTTGTTTGAAGAGATGATTAAGTTTCGTACAATCGGATGTCTTCAGGGCGTGAGTTCCATAGTTTAGCACCACTATTAGAAAATTTGTTTTGTTAGGTATTCGGTCACAGGCAAAGGCAACTGCAATGAGGTAGGGGGAGCCCCTGAGATTGTAGTGAGTAGTATCGAGGGCCTGGGGACTAGATCTAAGTTCGAGAACCAGCAAATCAATGGTAAAACTTAAGATCTAAATGAACTATATCGATTATGTTTTTAAGTTGACGGGGGCTGGGGCGATTGGAGCGCATGGGCAGGATGTAGTTTGACGTGTGGGATTGGAACAAGACAACGTGAGCGAAAGTGTGACTCACCAAAACCTCAGTATGGTGGCCAAATGTGTAAAGAAAGTGAAAGACTTGATATAAAACATTGCAGGGAACAAAAATGCCGAGAAGGTTTGTTTGAAGATTACATTATAATAAATGTTAGTCCTAGTTTATTTATTTATTTATTTTATTTATTGATGAGCCTAAGTTATGGGTCACTTTGGATTATTGACTGCCAATGAGGAGGGCATCGTCAGAATACCTCAGACCATTATGGGGGGATCTGGAAATCTGGTAAGTTTTCTTATGACGCAAGCAAACTCCTTCGACAGCCTTCCCCTCCCCTCCCCCTCGTTAGGCAAGAAATAAAGACCAATACCTCATCGCCATTAGGATGTGTCAGGCAAGATGGAGTACTTCCTGTATTGTGTTGGTGATGGTGCTTACAAGTCCTTACCTCTTCGGTTCTCAAACTTGGTTTTTAATGTTTTACAGAATTCTCAGGATCCGGTTCAGGAGATGGCTGGGAAAGTGGTGATGGATCAGGATCCGGCTCTGCGGGGTCTGGGTCTGGGGCAGACGACGGGTGGGAGATAGGTGGTAGAAGGAGAAAGAGAGCCTGGAGCGATGATGAAGACTTACGATGAGTGATAGATGTTACGTCTACGTTGGCAACGTCCTCAAGAGTTCCTTTATAGAGTAGTTAAGCGATCGTTTCTTTTCTTATAATTTTATAATGAAAATGTTACGCTTTTAAAAATTAGGGAGGGGGTGGAGAGTCGCCGATGATGATCCGCCAAAGACGTAGCAAAGGGTCATTCAGAGTTTTTTTTTTCCTTGAAAATTTGCCAACCAAGTGGTGCAAAAGATTTGCAGTAGTGCGTTAGACGTAGAGCTGATGATTAAAAATGTTTTAGTTTCTTAAGTTATTTTTTTTCTTTAGAAGAGAGATATAAACTATGACTAAAAATATCAACATCTGTCAGAAAAGTAATCAAACATTTGATGTCTTCAAAATGTTTTAACTTGTAACCAGAGACTGAGATTTTGTCACCATGTTTTGTCGTTTTGAAGGAAATGGTACAAGTTTCTCGATAAATTCTACTTTGCCATTGAAACTTTAGTGAATTTGATACTTTTTCGGTCAGAACTGATTGAGCAATAACGACTTATCCAAAGTAATAACAGTTATGAAATTTAAGAATTCATCTCAGAGTCTAATAGTCAGAAGTTGTTAGAAAAATATGAATATCTAGAATACTTAGTTAAGAATATTTGACTAAGGTTTACAAATAAGGCGAAGATTTTATCTATCTTCAGAATACGAGTGGAGTCGGGAATCAGGAGCTCGTTACAGTCTCTGACGAAGTTTGATATAAGCTTCACTGAATTATTTTTATAAGGTTTGCGTGAGTTTCCCTCGTATAATCATGTTCCTACTGGTTACATTTTTGAAGTTCAAATAAATAAAATATTTTGGCAAATTAGTGATAATTTCCTTCTAGTTATCAGTTGTACATAGCTACGAACAGTTTGTCTTGTTTTCGTTTAGTTATGTCAGTTCCGAGCATCTATACGAGGCTATTGTTCCCCCTTCCCCCTTCCCTCGACACAATTATTGATCACCACATAGGGGAAAGCCGTAGACGGTTCAGTAGGGCAATTGTTTTTTTCAAAGAACGGACTGGGCCCGAAAGATTCAGCTTTTACTGTCAAAAGGGGGAGGGGAGGGTGCTAGAAAGGAGAATCAAGGAGAGTGCGGATGACACCAAGAAGAAGATTTTAATCGTTTTATTGTTTTTTTGGATGTTTGTTTTGTTTTGTTTGTTTGTTTTTTAAGCTAACATCGATCCTTCAACGTGATCGGTTTTGCCTTTTGGGTATCGATTAAAAAGGAGGATCCTCATAACAGTTCAACTTTGAAGGTTTATTCGTCCCCAGGAGCAATAATGGGCTCCTGTTCGTCCCTTGTTACGCATGATAGATGTAATGCAATTTGCACTGATTACTCAGCACTGAACTACACTTCGTCTGACGTCAGTGTTTTGAATATTTAATGAGGTCCTTTCGGTTCATCCCTTTTAACCGCGACCAAATAGGTCATATTTACGTAAAGTAACACTATTTGGAGCACCCACGCCATATTGACCATCTAACTTCAGTTGTGAAATTCTACGGTACACAAAATTAGCATTTATTAAGCGAAGATGAGGTTATTAATTCTCTCGCTCCTCTGCAGCTTTGTATATTTGCTCGCACTTCAGACTAGCTGCTTTGCTGCAAAGTTTACGATGTTTCCTATGGTGGGTCGGAGTCACTACTTAGTTCTTGCGAGGATAGGAGAAGAATTGGAAAGCAGAGGTCATGAGGTGAAGTATAAATGTTCATGGAGATCACATTTCATTACAACTTATGAGTTTAGTAAATTTTTTGGTTCGATATCCAACTTACTTCGCTTAGTTAGGGTAAGTGGCCCACAGTTGTTAATTCGGCGCCGGAATCAACCAAAAATTACCGTTCCACGGTTCCCAAACCGCGCTCCCGTCCAGTTTAAACACTGAGATTTTTATATCAGGTCATTTTTTTAAAAATTATTATAAGCCTCTACAAGCCGAGTCTAAAGAAAAATATGGAGAAATGAGCGATTTAGTGTGACGAATCGCCACCTTACGCTTGAGTAATTGAAGCTGTCACGCTGTTTCCGCTCTCTGATTGGATGATAAGAAGCAGTAATGCAAGTCAATCAGAGAAGATAAAACCGGGCAACCGTGACAGCCGGTTCGTCGGATGTGACTGAAGCGCCGTTTGTCTCTTTCTCCGTAAACATATTACACATTAAATATATAAAGTAAGCAACAGATACACAAAATATAATTGTTATCCTTCAAAGCAGCTTATCAGATAAACTGAAAGGTTTATGCGGTACGCTACACATAGAACTTCATGGATGCACAAATAATCAAATGGAGCCTTAAGAAGCGACGTGTGCGAACGAGGAGTCATGGTTTTTCCTCGAGTGCTTTCATACTTTTGCACGCCACGATAGCTCGCATACTCGAGAGACGATCCCTTTAAAAAGTCTCAGTGGTAAGATATTTTTACTCTCTTTTCCTTTCAAAAACTCGCTCACTTGCTTTTTGCCCTTTGTATTCTCCCAAATAAGGTGTTGATTATTGTGGGGGATTGTGAAAAGTTTGCTGCGAAGGACCCCCGTGTACGAACATTCAAGTGCTCAGAAGATCTCACCAAACTTGACCCAACCAAGATAGATCACTTGATGAAGTTTTGGTTTGACAACTGCGATGCAATACTCAGCAACCCTGAGATCATGAACCGAGTCAAATCTTCTGATGCTGTTATTGGAGATGCTGCGTTCCAGTGCTCGTATTTGATCGCCGATAAATTCTCCTTACCACATGTTACAGTCTTGATGAGTCCTCTCAGTACCGGTTCGGTGTTGCAGTTAAACTTTGCACAACTTCCGTCCTACATACCCCAGTTCACCTCCGGATTCACCGACCACATGAATTTTCTTCAGAGAGTGAAGAATACCATGCAACACTTATTTCATCAATTGATGGTTCTTCCGAAAATAGACAACGTCTACGGACCGCTAAAGAAGAAGTATAACATCACACCAGAGAAATCCCTCCGAGAGACTTACCAAAAAATTGACCTTGTCCTTGTTCAATCGGATCCCCTCGATTATCCAAGGTTTCATTTACCGAGTGAGAATCACACTTTTGTAGCTAACTTACCGGTAATGCTTATCCAAAATTTATCTTTAGGCTAACCTTTTAAATGAGAAAGGAAAGGGAAGACACCGAGGCAGTTAACAAACCCAATAAATTTCAATCCTTACTCTCCCTTTTTTCTTCTATTCTCTAGTTTTCCCTCCTTTTCTGTGATCTGAGATTAAAACTCAACATCACTTTTTACGTTTACAACAGCAAAACTACCACTCATGCTTTTAGACAAGCAATCTCCATGTTTTCCTCAAAAGTAACAAGTGGTAGGCTTCTCTCTAAGGGAACGTTATCATCAGAACTTCATGTGTGTAATTTTATTTCCTTTCTATTTTTTATTTCCAGATACTAAACTGGTTGGTCCATTACTCTCAAGTCCGGCCAAACCCCTCCCAGGTGATCTTCAGCAGTTTGTCATGGGGTCTGGGGACGAAGGTGTTATACTTGTGTCGTTTGGATCGATTCTGTCTCAGATAGACGATCAAACAATTGAAAGAATGGCAGCTGTGTTTTCTAGCTTACCACAGAGAGTTATCTGGAAACTTGATGCAGGTAACTGAGTTATGAGTTTGGTCGATGTGTTGTTGTTGGTGCTGTTGTTGTTTATTAAATTCAGTGTACACAAGCCAAGGTGGACTATTAAAATAAAGTTTACCTTCCTTTGCTCCCGTGTGAGAAGCTGGTATTTGACTACAAGTACTGTTTGAGAAGGAATCTCAACACTCTGCTTTCATTATTGGCTTCTAAAGAGCGATTCTTTTGCTGTCTACTTTAAAGACTAAAGCCTTGATATAGTTGTCATAACGACAACAAGGCTTCAATCAGAATATCAAAATTTGAAACCGTGCGTACGTAGTTGTGTCACTCCTGGGAATTTTGATGTTTTTCCTTCCTTCCGTGATACAGAGGGCAAAAGTTTGCACCTTGGCGACAACGTCAAAGTGTCTTCCTGGCTTCCACAGAACGACATTCTCGGTCATCCAAAGACACGTCTGTTCATTGGCCATGCTGGAATGAATGGAATGTTGGAGGCTGCTTACCATGGAGTCCCTATGATTTGTGTGCCTTTCTTTGGAGACCAGTTTGACAACTCTGTGGCCGCAAAGCACTTTGGGATGGCGGAATTTTTGTACAAGGAGTCAATAACTGAGGAGAGTCTTGTAAAGTTAATAAACACTGTTCTTAACAAACCAAGGTAAGCGAAATCACGTGACGGCTAATAGCTGGTCATAAGACTTCTATGGTGGATTTGTCCATGCCTTTGTCTTTCTTTATCGCAAAAGGGTATTTGAGTCCACTTTGAAAATCAAAAAGACCAAAGACTAACCAACATTTGTTTACTTTCAGTTACCGCGAGAATGCTGTCAGAATTTCCAGGTCTATCAAGCTGCGCCCGCGTTCTGCTATAGAGGCAGCCGCTGACTGGGTGGAGTACGCGCAAGCTCTAGGTGACTTGTCGTTCCTCAGACCACGAAGCCTGGATCTACCATTTTATCAGCTTTACCTTTTAGATGTATTAGCTCTGTTTCTTTTGCTGTCAATCATCGTTGTAGTCGCTGTTTATATAGTGCTCAGGTGTTTGTATCGTTTTTGCTGCAACAAGAAGCCGATGAAAGAAAAGCCGAACTAACATATCGCAATGTTTTTGTTACAAAAATAAACTGAGACAACTTTATCATCATGTATTTCCATCGTCCTCTGACAACAACAAGGAGCTGAGATTACAATCAGTGATGTTTTCCTCCTCATCCTACTTTCTCTTTCTGTTTCTGATTGTTATCGATCAGATAAGCTCCTCCTTAACTCTTTGACTCCCAGAAGCGATTAACTTGTAAATTCTCCCTATAACATCTATACATCATCCAACAAACAAGTAATGAGAATACCCAAACTTATCAAATAAAGTTGTTATCTCGACCTGGCACCAAAGTTTTGCGACTAATTTGGAAGGAAATCGGCAGCAGCTGGAGGGGAGAATTAACAAGCTGATCTTATGAATTACAAGTTTTAATGAAGCCTGGTTCCCTTCAGTTACCGTAGGTTTATGTGAGGAGAGAAAATACATGGAAACTCAAAATCACGAAAGTGTTCTCAGTTTTGATATAATCGTCTGTGCATGTAGTTATGTGGGGATTGAAATAAACACTGCAAAAAGCAGATTAATTGTAAATAAATCACTGTAGAACGTCCCTCTTCACAAACGGTTTAAAGAGATGTTAGGAGGAGGGTTTGACGGTTAACAGTTCTATTTTTAGTCTTTTGATTTTGATGGTCAACCAACACAAAAATTATGCTTATTTTTGAAGACTATGCTACTTTTTCTTAAAATAGAAGAAACACAAAACAAACCCAAAATTATAGATTTTAATGTCACTTTATCCGAGGTTTCATTTACAGTACTGAGGCATGATATCTTCTTAATTTTGAGCTTATTTAAGAAAATGAGCCATTTGTTGTCTAATACCTAACGTAGCTATGCTTTTCCATAGCTGTTTAATATCTCAAAGTTATCAACCTTTCCTCAGTGAAGAAGTGCGAAGCTAACTGTGTTCACTTTCGGTTAATTTTTAAAGCCTACATCAGCGGGAACTAACGTATTGTTTGAAAACAATCAGTAATTATTGTTCAAGGTCTTAAAAGTAAGCTTCACGTAACTTCGAGAAAAACTGAATAGGTCGTGGTCTGAATATAATACGTCAGTTCGTATTTAAAAGATTTAAAAACAAAGAACTTGATATTGGGTTAAACTCAAAGAGAAAATATCTTCCAAATAACTGTCAACCATCACAATAGGAAAAATAGCAATCAACTGTTAAAGCCATTCCCTGTAATCCAGGGAATACCTTTTTTATATCCTTCAGTAATGTCACGCAACATGTATTTTTACAAGTCAAATGCAAACATTCACATAGCTGAGTATCCAAAAAGAAACCACGCACCACAGAACGAGCTGCTTTTCGCGAAACGCATAGTGCTTTTCGAGAAGTCTATACTGACGACATTTTGAAACCAGCATCTCTGGATCATGACTTTGATACTCATTCAACCGCTTACGTGCAGCATCGTATTGTTGTTTGCATATCAAACTATTAGCTTTGCTGCAAAATTTGCGATGATTCCAATGGCTGGTAAGAGTCACTACTTGGTTCATGCAAGGCTTGGGCAAGAGCTGGAAAACAGAGGACACGAGGTAAATTTAGTGCATTTAGGAATCGCAGTTCAAGATGCTGTGGCTTTTCACTGAAGGAAATCGAAGCGTAAGGATTTCTACACATATAGTTCTGTGCCTTTGAAGCGAAAATTTTTGGCGTGTTTTTTTTTTTAATAGTTGCATTTCAAATTTGGGATAAGGGACCCGAGTACCTTGCGACCTGTCTGTGACCAATAATTCCGATTTGGCGGCCAAAAACTCGTGCCACTAAGCCTACGACACGAACAATTACATTGCATCTGCATATTTAGTAGTGATGGAGCAAATTCAACGGTGGAGATCGAAAGGAAAAATAAAGAAGAGATCTATTACATTTTTGGGGCTCCAAATAATGTTAGCGGCATGAATTACTCACATAACTGGGCATTTCAATGCACTATGTTCCAAAGGGTAAAGCTTTATGTCAGAAATGGACCAGTTCATCCGTTACCCCGCCTTCGGGTCATTCATGAGACCTCGGGCACAGTTTTCATCTGACCTTCTGCCCGTTTGATAAAATGCATGCCAAAAATTATCGATATTCATTGGTTGAGAATTCGTCAATTTAACCTAAACAGTTCAGAAAGTTGAAACTGAGTGCAGAAAGTTGAAATTAAATTGATTGACTGGAGAGTCGCAAAAGCACAACAAAACAAAATAGCGGACAGGTTAACTATGAGAAAGTAACAACGTTTTAATTCAGCACAAAAACTCCTAACGAAGTGCAAAACGACTGGCTAAAAGTCGGGAAGTCTTGAGGTTCCAAAATCGGCTATGACAAAAGTATTGATTAGTAGGAACCGGAGGCCCTGAACAAAATTCTCCGAGAGTTGACAAAGACAACAAACTGCACTCGTCCCATAGGGTTGCGCAATTTGCTAAGCGTTTGAAAAATTTATTTGTGATGATTTATCCAAAAATTGCACTCGAAATCATGTGATTACTTTTACTTATAAAATGTGAGTTTTAAAATATTTGATAATGATTTCGAACCAATATTATCTTGCATCAAAGGCCTTTTAGAGTTTCATGATAAGACAGCGGTTGAAATGTAAAGTGTGTCATGTAAGCTGCAGAATTTGTTACCCACTTCAACTGCACATTATTTAAAGGCACTGACCGACCCTGTTCACACAATTTAAAACCGAACTCATCTCAAATATCTGGTGGTTAAGAATGAATCACGTCATCCTCTCTTGACCCTACAAACTCGAACTGCCAGGGAAACCAAAAACAACTTGATCGATATACTGGCGAGTTGAGTAAGCTAATACGTTTTCAACAATCAAAAAAATGCTCTTGACAGGAAATGACGCCGTAATACGACGTAAAGTGCAGTGTTTCAAACGCAGGCGACCCTGGTTGTAGCTAATGGGGTTTAAGGCCCACAAGTTTAATTTATTCTCAGAAGGCTGAGTGTCAGGATAAGCTGAAGCAATTTCTTTCTTCCAGTGAGCAGAACGTCCACTCAAAAACATGAAATATGAATCATTCCTTCCAAACTAATCATTTAAGTGAATGTTATCTTATTAAACCAGGACTTATTACCCTTCCCAATGCCTTGTTTTTTGTTTGTCTTTATTTCATTTCTTAGACAACTTAGAAAACACTTGGCCAAAGAGTCACGCTATTGTTTCGCGTGTATTCGTCTTCATGCACTCCTCTACAACTCAAAAAATGTCTCAGTGCTAGTTGCACAGGCTAGGCGTGATGTGTGTTTTCGCGGTTGCGGTATCTAATGACGGCTAAGACAATCAAAACTGGACCCCACTTTATTGCCTCTCTCACTGTATTCTTTCCTTACAAGGTGCTGATTGTCGTTGGAGAACGTGAGACGTATGCTGCAAAAGACCCACGTGTTCTAACATTCAGTTCCCCAGATGATATCAACAAACTTGACATCACCAAGATAGACAACCTAATGAAGTTATGGTTGTACAATTGTGATGCAATACTCAGCAACCCTGATGTCATGAACCAAATCAAATCCTCCGATGCTGTTATTGGAGATGCGCTGTTCTTGTGTTCGTTTTTGATCGCCGATAAATTCTCCTTACCTCATGTTACAGTCTTGATGAGTCCACTTAGTTCCGGTTCAATATTACCGTTGAACTTTGAAAACCTCCCTTCTTACCAACCCCAGTTCACCTCAGGTTTCACCGACCACATGAATTTTCTACAGAGAGTAGAGAACACTGTGCTATGCCTTATTCAAGCGATAGTTCCTTACAATATTGACGGAGTCTATGAGACACTGAAGAAGAAGCACAACATTACACCAGAGAAAACTCTCCAGGAGACTTACCAGAAAGTTGACCTTATCCTTGTTCAATCAGGTCCCCTCGATTATCCAAGGCCTCTTTTACCGAGTAAGAATCACGTGTTTAAAGTCTATTTTACTAATTGAAAATCGAGTTACATACGAATGAGGCCCCGCAAAAGGGGGGGAGGGGAGGGGGGGGGGAGTAAGAGCATTATGTATCATTAATTTTTGTCCTAACTATTCTGTACCCCTGTACTTATTTCCAGATACTAAACTTGTTGGCCCATTGCTCTCAAGCCCAGCCAAACCTCTCCCAGATGATCTTCAACGGTTTGTCATGGGGTCTGGGGACGAAGGTGTCATACTTGTGTCGTTTGGATCGATTTTGTCAGAGATAGACGATCGGACAATTGAAAGAATGGCAGCTGCGTTTTCCAACTTACCACAGAGAGTTGTCTGGAAACTTGATACAGGTAACCTGCCATTTTATTAGCTTTACTGTATATGCGTAAGCCAAAGTTGTTTATCAACCTTTTTCCCGTGCTAGAACGAAGTACCCGGCCACTAACTTTTGATTCTCTTAGCGATGATAAAAAAAAGATTATGGTCTCGATCTTAAATTCGAACTTACGAGGCTGTGTTCGAATATCAAAGTTGTTCTAACGCACAATTGTATTGCTGGGAACTGTACTAGTCACGTCCATGCTGTTTTGCTGTTTAATTTACCAAATGTCCAATATTGTGCTTTTCTTGTTTGGAACAGAGGGCAAAAGTTTGCGCCTTGGCGACAACGTCAAAGTGTCTTCCTGGCTTCCACAAAACGACATTCTCGGGCATCCAAAGACACGTTTGTTCATTGGCCATGCTGGAATGAATGGAATGTTGGAGGCTGCTTACCATGGAGTCCCTATGATTTGTGTTCCCTTTTTTGCCGACCAGTTTGACAACTCTGTGGCCGCAAAGCACTTTGGGATGGCGGAGATTTTGCATAAGGAGTCAATAACTGAGGAGAGTCTTGTGACGTTAATAAGCACTGTTCTTAACAATCCAAGGTAACTCAGATTATACAACGGCTAAAAGCTGGTCATGATTCATCTATGGTGGATTTTAAAAGCTGTTGTCTCTTTATCTTAGAAGCATTTGTGTCAATTAATGGCGTTTTTTGCGTTTTTAGCTACCGCGAGAATGCTGCTAGAATTTCCAAGTCTATCAAGTTGCGCCCACGTTCTGCCATCGAGGAGGCCGCTGAATGGGTGGAGTACGCGCAGGCTCAAGGTGACTTATCGTTCCTCAGACCACGAAGCCTGGATCTACCATTTTATCAGCTTTACCTTATGGACGTATTCACTCTTTTTATTTTCCTGTTAATCATCGTTGTAGCCGCTGTTTATTTACTGCTCAGGTGTTCCTATCGCTTGTGCCTCAGGAAAAAGCTGATAAAAGAAAAGTCGTTCTAATTGCCCTATCTTGAAACATGCGACTGTTGACTTTGCTCATGTGATCGGTGCTTTTACAAATTCGCGCATTTTGATAAGACCATAAAATTTTTCTAAATGGAGACTTATTCAGTTTGCTGTTGTCTTTCGAAAAATCTTCCAATACTATTCAATCCGAAGCGTACTTGTCACTTTGCTTTTCGCGAAGAGGCGGAGGGGGGAGGTACTTTCTAGTAAGAGGCTAATGAGAATAGAATGTGCTGCTGGAGGGGATCGCTAATGTGCAAATATGCAACGGTGTCACACTGTAAAATCGGGAAGTAATACGGAGCAAAAAAATGTCCAAAATGGCCGCACTGAACGATCCAAGCGTTGTTTTTTATTTCCTTCAAGAGCGACATTATTTTGTTGGTCTCAAAAATTATCTGGATCAAAATCAAAAGATTAAAATTTGAGCATTATGCTTTAGGCGTCACCCCTGAAAAAAAGAATAATGCCAAAAATGATGCTCAAAATTTTGTTTTTATGCTTAATCTCAAGCATTTGAGAGCCTCTTAAAAACCTCTGACTGCCAATTAATTGCCAATAAGGGAGGGGGGGGGGATCATAAGCCTTAGGGGGGATCAAGTTACTCGATAGTAAGACAACCAAAATCCTACCGACCCGACCCCCTCTCCTCGGTCCCATTCCTTCAGAATTTCCATTGCAATCAATAATAATTTTTTTTTTGCTGAGTTTGCTCCATGCTGTATTTCACAATGGTCATTATGTTCGCTCTGAAAGTTCACTTGTCATCATCTTCGGTGTTGATAGAGGGAGGGGAGGAAGGGGAGGAAGAGGGTTCTGGCTGCACTGACCAGGTTGTGCAGCAATGACCGTGAGGCACGCACAAAAGCAGATCCAATTCGAGTTATTCTCTTCTTTTCCTCGCGCTTCATGAGACAAGAAAAAGAGGAGCCTGCGAACGAGGTTAGTCTATGTGCAGAATTAGGACACTTTTGTTATTTAGACTAACATGATAAACTTAAGGTTGTAAATTTTTCAGAAAATGAAAAGTCCGGGCGGGATATGAAAAAGAAAAATGCTATTTAGTTACCATCCCACGTTCAAGGTACCGAATCTTTGTATTAATGTTTCTTTACTATTGAAGAAGTGGCCTAGCCTGATGTAAACACGTGGGAGGTTGGGAGAACACGAGATAAGCCTAGGAAACCACGACGCTAATGAAAGAGGAACGAAAACCGTGTCTACATACGCTCATGTAAAATGGTTTTATGGCCAATCAGAGCGCGCGTACTATTTGAATTTTTTTATAAAAGCAGATGGTGAAACGCTCGAAACACGCGAAAGATTGAAAAAACACCAAGCAGTTTGTACGGCGTGCATGTAAAGATGCGGCGAGAAATTATCCCATTCCCTCGACGGCGCCTCTTTATTTAAACCACGGCAAAGACGTAATATTGAGTAAACATGGTTATTTGAGTCTAAACGATAGGGTACAGATAGTTTAGTCGGGAAGCAGTTCTATTCACCACGGCTTTATCTCCTCTTTTGTAGGATAACCACATGAAGCAAAATTCAGCGGTTTAAGGATTGATAAACGAGTTATGTCAAGTATAGTAATGTTGTGGGCACATAATAAATGTGAAAATATCTAAAAGAGGTGTGGAGAGATTTAATCTCCTAAAAGGAAAAGTCATTATTTATTGCCCGACGAGAGGGTGTTGGAGGATTTTTGGGAATCAGTCGTCGCTAACAGAGTATTAAGAGGGGACTATACAAAATTGATTCCCAATGAGAGGGGATTACTAAATACTAAAGAACCCGTGGGGGAATCAGGTAAATTTCATATTGACACAACTGAAATCCTACAAGCCTCTCCCCCCCCCCCCCTACCCGAGATAAATAGGGACCGGTTCCTAAGATAAAAACCCTCCACTTATATGAATGTTCCATTTCTAAAAGAGCAAAGTTATGAAAGGAAATTGAGTCGCAACCCTCCCTCAGCATGACACGAGTTTCCCTGGACAATTCGTGGCTACACATTTTTACATATGGGTGGACAGGAGTACTTGAGTCTTGTCAAGAAGAAATAATATTACGCGGCGAGGGTTCATACTCAGACCTTTCGACTTAGATATCGGATCTCACGTTCCGTGCGGACGGAAATGCGCAGACAGGTTGCAAACTAATCGGTGTTCCCTGGGCATGCGGTATAACATCCGTCCTCATTGTTCCCAAATGAAGAGACAGACACTAATGACAGAGTTCATCGAAGTTTCAAATTCCCATACCTTAACATCACGTTCTCAATAACATAAAGAGGTCATGAGCACTTAAAAACCGTCTGTCACTTTTTCGGCAGCAATCCTTTTCAGAGCCATTCCTACTTGGACGATAAGGCTACAAGATCAACGACCTTCTCTTTCAGGTTTACGCCGGTTGCTGTAGAAAATGGAGAAGCTTTTTGGACTCGGATTTCCGGCAAAGATTAAACATTGTCATTTTAGCTGTGAACTAGCTTTTAAAATGAAGCAAACAGTTCCAACTTATCTCCGAAGAAGCGGGCCTAAGTTTGATGGAGCGATATCATGGCGTGTGCTTCACAGCTTATTGAAATTTTGATAAGGTTGAAAATTGAAACTTTGCTGTTTTTTTCAGATTCTCTTCATTAGGTCATCGGAATAGCTTAACCCTTTAACTCCCGTGAGTGACCAAGACAAAGTCGAGTTTCTCGTTACAGTACCAAGGCGACATCTGATGTCGGGGAATACAGAAATATAGTTAAGGGGATTATCAGTTGATCCAATACGAAATTCTCAAAAATAATATCATACGAATTTTATGGCAGACAGTAGGAGAATTATAGTGGTGGACACTGCCACTCGCTAGGTGTGGCTGTTTAAAGAAAGGCTTCGTACAGAAATTTAAATAAAAATAAAACAAGGGGCCGACTAAAACAGACTTAAACGTGGAAATCAACTAATCAAATCGTAGAAACAACTCACTAAACAACTTAATAGAGAGATATTTGCATAGATAAATCAATAGAGGTCAATAAAACTGACAATCGGATGTTGAACTGTCAGTTCGTTACCCTCAAAAAATTGGACACTGTCCAGCTCAGGGTTGGCATTGCGTGTTTGGCGCTTAGCCGAATCATGTCATTTTACGTGTCGGTATTTGGGCTACTGACCTAAAATAGACCCAATTTACAATCCCCTCTTTAGGAACATTTTGATAGTTGCATTTCCTGACACAAGGACACAGGCAGTTCTCTTTATTGAGTCGGGACAAGCGCAGCTAAACTGACGACCAAAATGGTGAACCTAGGGGAGATTTTTCCTGATTTCCATGTCCGCACCAGTGAAGGCGAGCTTGATTTCCACAAATTTATCGAAGGATCGTAAGTAGAAGTTTGGAATAATTTTTGCGCACTGTAAACCCTTTTTGAATTTTTGTTCTCTGTGGTGGTCCACAAGTCTAGTGCCTAAAGTTTTTCTGTTATCTTTTATTCTCCGATCTACCGAGATCTAATTTGACGTTTCATCTTGCAGAACTGACAAAACAATTTCAGCTGGCTGTTCGTTCTAGTCATTCATGATCTTTTGTTGGCTCTGGCCTGCACAATACCGTTTGCGTTGTTTACATCGAACGCGGGTTATATATTTCAGTTTAATCAAACCCATTTCGACTTTTGCACGAAAGATGTCAGCACATGCACGAAAGATAGAGAGAAAGAAATGATTTGAACTGTCTTGACATGCCACTCTTACAATCCGTATTAGTTATGGGGTGTGTTGTAAGGATAGTGTTCCATTAATTAAGGGGGGCTCTGTTACGTCAATTTGACCTATTTTCGTGATAGGAAATATTTGCAATGTCATTTCCCGTGGAAAAACGAACGCTCGACGTCAGAATGAGCCAAGCAGAAGCGAGGTGTGTTAAGGATTTATAAGGACTGCGAAAGATAAATAAGAAAATGTCAATTACTTGCACAATGTTATGAATTCAACTAAATTAAGCCATCAGTCAAACAGATGATGAATTATCAATTACTGACAAGTAACTAATTAAGGCAAACAAACGGTGACCTTTTAGGTGGATGAAGGTCTACAAAAAAAAAAAAGAACTTGTTCAGTATGTAACAATCCGGGCTATGTTTTTTCAAGGGATTACATGTGTTTCTGAGCCCTTGACAATATTAAAAGATTTGAAATTGAGACAAAAACAGGAAGGGCGGCCCACTTGTATGCTCTTAAGGGAGTTGTTAAAGAACCCGTGCTTACACAGGCCCTGGCCTCCGACAACTTTTCTTTTTCATTATCTCGCATAATTTCAGCAATTTTGTGAACTTCTCTTTGTCATGACTGAGCCCATTCCCTTCCTCAGAGCTTGAGGGTTCAAGTTAGCTCCCTTCCGGAAATCCAATTTCCTTCAGCCCTACCGTCAAATAATACGACAAAACTGAAACTAAACTTACGCGGTTTGGCGCAAAAAAGCGTACCTCAAGTGCCCGTGCAGCTTGTTCGTGGCTTTACAATCCGCGAAATAGGAAATTTGCATGTGATAAATCTCTTCTTCCATGGCCACGTGCCGAAGAAGTCATGGGTAAAAGTAGGTTGCAGAAGCTCAAGGTTATACGGGAAAAACTGATATTATAATAAGAACTACAACATCATATCAGGCTGCGAATTCCTTATTAGTACGATGCATCATTGTAGTGCACTGTTGTTACTCTCTATAGATGGGCCATTTTATTCGCTCACCCCGCCGACTACACACCCGTGTGTACCACTGAGTTGGGCTGCTTGGTTGGAATGATCCCAGAATTCACCAAGCGCGGTGTAAAGCTCATTGCTTTGTCATGTGATGATGTTGACACACACAAGGGATGGATGGAAGATATCAAGGCCTTCATCAAGACAGACCTAATGGACTTCCCTTATCCGATTATTGCCGACCAAGGGCGTGAACTGGCTGTGAAACTGGGAATGGTCGATCCTGACGAAAAGGATGCTCAAGGAATGCCACTTACTTGCCGTGCGGTAAGTGTTTTGACCGTGTTTCCAAATAAATACGCGGTGGCAGAGCGGTTTTTGCAATGCGCGTATGATAGAAAGATCCGAAATAGAGACCTTTTCAAGAAAATTGAGACACTTTTCCCTCAAAGCGCTCCTCATCAACTTCACAAGAAGTATAAGTAGATATCAGTAAAATCTCAGTAAAACAAACCCTTGGGGCGGGAGAAAGAAATTATACTCCTAGTTGTTTCATGTTGCCAGAAACTTGGTTAAGCTCCGGCTGTCTTTCGAATCAGTCTAACAGACACTCCACTGAAAAAACATTGAAACCTAAAAAGCATAAACCATGAACGATGAGACCTAATGGCATTATGGGAAATGTTCGCACAGTCACGCAATCAACGCTATACTTTTTAATCATTCATGAAAATCTTTGTGCACTACAATTATTTTCTTTCAGGAAAGCATGGATGAAAAGCCGTTAAGTCTCATCTTTCATTACTTACGCTTTTTAGAATCAATTTCTTTTGCAATCGAGTGTATCTTCAACATCAGCCATGACCACGAATTCTCATGATTCTTTAAAATAATCATTCAGTTGAAGGTAGGAATGGAGCCACCAAAGATTTCGAATAAATCAATCAAGCAAAGCGCAAGATTCGTGAGCCAAACTGCATCACTTTCCTTGAAGTCACCCCCACCCGCCCCACCCTTTCCCAAACAGACGCAATCTCATTCCTTCCTTGATGTGGTTCACATTAAGGACCGGTCATTATTTATTGCGGGGGGGGGGGGAGGAAGTTGGAGGATTTTGGTCGTGTCAAAATAAAATTTACCTTATCCCCTATTAACCTCTGTAATGACCTTATGATCCCCGTAATTAGCAGTAAATTGGCAGTCAGTTTTCTATAACCCCCCTTAATAATCTGTTGGCGACGCTTCTCCTCCCTCTATTCCTCCTGAAAACCGTGTGATCCTTCCAGATCTTCTAACCCGTTTCCCACCCCCCTCCCCCGAAATAAATACTATCTGTTCCCGTAAACTGACATTTCCAACCATACGGTGTACCTTTATCAGTTTCCTTTTGCTTTTCATAATGTTAAAGGTGTTCGTTATTGGACCAGACAAGAAGCTTAAGTTGTCATTCCTTTATCCCGCCTCGTGTGGACGGAACTTGCAGTAAGTCAAGTCATTAATCCTTTACACCCTTACATCAATGTGCAAATTCTCCATACTTTCTTTAGACAATTCTATGAAGCTGACAAAGAGAATTTGTTTAAAAATCAAGAACTTCCTTAGTTGGTGATCTTTCCCTTTATTCTCGTGACCTTAATGTGTGATTCAGAGGTGATATTGTGATAAGAAATTAGATGCTGATCAGTCGTTGGGGTCAAAGGGTTAAAAATTAAGTCTAAGCCACGCCCAGAGTGGTCTCTGATTCACGATTTCCGACAAGCACTCCTTACCGGATCATTTGGGAAATCACCCGAGAGTAACTGGCTATTTTACTTCACTTGCAGTGAACTATTACGTGTGATAGACTCATTGCAGTTGACTGCCACAAAACAAGTGGCCACTCCTGCAGACTGGGAGGTAGGTTGTCTTTATTGAAAAAGTAGAGCAATTGAGGTAGTTGAGAGGCTTGATGAGTTGGTATACATTATTTGGCATTAGATGCATATGCGGGCAACGAAAAAAGTTACAATTTACGTCTCTCCTAACTTGTTCCCTAAAGTTTGTAGCTTGCTAGTTTGTAACACTCAACCGATATCTGGGAGGCACGGGTTGAATTCTAAAGCAAAAACTAAAATGTTCTTGGACGCCATTGAATACGGTTTAAATGCAAAGAACAATTTATCACTTGGATCGATAATCGTCGTAGTTTACAAGTACCAAAATAAAAACAACAACAACAACAGCAATACATCAGGGGTGGATCCAACATTTTTTTCTCAGAAGGGGGTACGCCTTTAATGAATGGCGTAACTTACGGCTGACGCAAACATATTTTGAAACCGAATGACGAAGAATAAGGCCTAAGACTAGGCAAAAAGATAATGTGAACAGCTTAGAATACATGGTGAACGCTACGGCAGGTTTTCCATAACCGTGTAGTTATATCGGAAAGCTGCAGGTCACCTCAGAAGGGAGGGGATGCACATCCCCTGTACCCCTCTCTTAGATCTGCCCACTGATATTTTCCTGACAACCTCGTTTCCAAAATCCATAATTTATTTAACTACGATGGCTTTTCTGCCACGACGGCAAGGCACCCGCCTAAATAAACTGGCCTCCTTGTCAGTTACTATGTTTGCATTGAAGTGAATTTATTATTTTATCACTTGACCTTTTTCAGCCTGGCAAAGATTGTATGGTTCTTCCCACGGTGAAAGATGAAGATCTTGAGAAACTATTTCCAAAGGGTGTCAAAGTCAGAGAAATGCCCTCAGGTAAAGGGTACATGCGGTACACTCCTCATGAACAAACAGAGTAGAACTGAATGTGAATTAAAGCTTGTCAGTTGTAACCAAACAAAGTCTCGTGTCTTTTACTGACTCATTTGCTAAGATACAGCGCGATTGATATAAATATCTCTTATTATATATACGGTTTTCCAGCACGTAACCATGCTGCGGTTGTGTTCTGGATGGCGAAACTTGAACGACTGACTCGTTCCTTCCGAAGAATAAGGGAACAATCTCACTACCGAGCTGTCAACTGCGCGATTCGATTGTTAAACAATGATTCTCCAGTTTTTTTACCCTTTAATTCCCAAAAACAGACAAGACAAGAAAAGAGAAAAAAAATTAATTTAATTTGGTTAACATCCGCGGTATCCAGTTTAAAATTGAATCAATTTACATATGGTGGATGTCATCGTTGTAGTTTCCCTGGCCAAAATTTGAAAGATAAAAGACTTAAAAAAGAAAACTATGAGGCCAATGGTTTTTCCGGTTAGGTTAATGGACACCTGAGGGCGTTCCCCTTTTTTTTTTTTTGGCGGGAGAGGGGAGGGCGGGGAGGAGGTTCAGGACATGCTCGAGACGGAACTTATAATTTCTCATCCTCATCCGAGAAGACTTGAATTTCTATCCATTTGCAGACGTCATAACAATGGTAGCACATTCTCTTCAGTTATTTTGAGACCCTGAATGTTGGTCCAGTCTAGGATTTAAACCCTCGATCTCTCATACGAGAATCCGGCGCTCTACGACTTGGGCTAATCAAGCGCGTCAAAATATTTTAAAATTCTCGTCTGTCTGTGACCCTTAAATAATTTGCTTAACCCTGTTCAAGGACGTAACACACGCAAAGAAGTTTTTATTGACTCCAATATTTCATAATGTCATTATTTAAGCTTACCCTTCGAATATTTATAGAGGCTGGTGTGGTTTTTTAACTATAGATTTATATTATGTTTGTAGACGTAAATTCTGGATGAAGAGCCAAACTCACGGTTTGGAAAGCCTGAATAAATCATTATCATTACTATTATTATTATGGTTGTTTTTATTATCATTATCATTAAATGTACACACCTCTTTTTAACCTCAATACCTCGCTACTATGGTGAGTTAGATTTAGCTACAAATTACAGAAAAGCGACTTGCCTTGAGAGATATTTGACACCAATGATGAACGAATTTTTTTTTTTTAACTGCAGAGCATCAGTACTTTTCCTCTGTTTTATTATCATTTAATACTTTGGTAAGTGATCACAAACTTTTGCCCCGCTCCTTGCTTAACTGATGCATGAATACTGCGCTTTGATATCGTTACTGACGAATTATCTTTACAGAGCTAATCGAATGAAAAAGCGAGAGAGACACCCAAACTTTCGGTCATAAGGTAGAAAAAAAGAGTTTAAATCGAAAACTCTTTCTTTACTTTGCAACGAACGAACTAACGCAGAAAACGTTTGAGTAAGTCCTTTTCAACTGTCTTTTTCTTTCAGTTGTTAAACGATCTTCACTTTTGGGCTGGTTCGAACTTTTTCATTAAGAATTTATAGAACTTCATTATGACTTCCTTACGACATAGACCTAGCTTTTTTGGCAACTAGGTGTTGCTATTTCAAAAGGCACATACCCTTATTTCCCATAACACTTGGGTTTGTTGAAAATCAAATATTGCCAGTACTAAACTGCACGAGGGCAGTCGACGGCGCAATCATTTTAGTAAGTTTACCTTGGGATCTCAGTTGTGAAAGAGAAAGTTCTATTCCACGTTAGCTAACCTGTAGTTTTTCTGCTGACCTGTTTGTTTCCCGTTTCGCTGACCTGTTCTGCAGTAATTTCTGACTGGATAACACCACAGAAGTAAATAATTTTTTTTGTAATCATTTTGATTTTCAGTATTGTAATTATTTACTTTCCGCATGTACTTTCGTGAATCGCTGGCTGTTAGATTTCTCATGAATTATGTATTGTCTCTTACAGATCGAATCAAAAAAAAAAAAAAAAAAATATATATATATATATATATATACATACGATTCGTATCCAATCAATTAATTACTCGATAGCCATCATTTCATCTACCCCGCATCTAATCGCCACTAGTTTTCAGGCTTAGATGCAGGTTCAATTTCCCCATGGAATGTCTCTGTCCTAGTCAAAGTGGACGGAAGCGGCATTTAATTGGATTCGAAGGCGGCGTTGAACTGAGCAAACGATGGAGCTGACATGGATCTCGTTAGCGTCTTGTGGCAAGTAGTCTGATGGGATAGCCGATTTAATTCTGTGTTTAGTGATGTACAGGATGCTGAACGTGTAAAGCCATCAGTTCGAGTTTCTCGGGAGGTTTCCTTCGGCAACGCATTCTTGGAGTTCATGGGGACTTTTTCTTGGACACGATGCACTGGCATGGCTGCATTTGCTGGCCGCTGGATAACTTGCGGCTTTTTCATCCTTAACATCTCCAGCAAGGCGTTTCTAAAGCGACGGTCTCTGTAGCAATATAGCAGCGGATTCACGATAGAGCCCATCTGCATAATAAGTTCTGACACTCGAATGCTAGTGCTTGTGCGTAGGGTTGGGGAACTGCTGACAACTATACCTGGTACGAACGAAATTACCAAAGCGAGGGTTAACAAGGCGGCTGTCTTGGCAACTTTGGTCTCGAGCTTTGCTTGAGCCAGAACTGTCACTTGAGTTATTTGGTTGATCTTGCGTTTGCGCACTTCGATGTATATCTTGACGTAAAAATAGCCGGTTGCTATTAAGGAAACTGCACCGCAGATGCTCGCGAAAAATATCCACATTTCAACGAACATGAGGTCCAAACCAGCAGCTTCCAACCCAAAGGGCGGTAAAGTCGTCAATATTGCCCCCATCCAAACTACTGTGGCCAGCGTTCTAAGGCGGCCTCTTGTAACTTTCACTGGGTAGAGCACTGTCTTTGTTATGGCTACGAACCTCTCCCAAGCAATCGCTGTCATGTGATAAAGTGCACACCAGGAGGCGCAGTACATCAAGTACACATTGACAATGTCTAACGTGCAGAAGTATGTCACTCTACGGATGGCGAGCAATACATCGAGACTAGCGGAGAAGGGCATCGTGAGAGTTCCCACCAGGAAGTCTGCACCGGCTAAGCTGGACAACAGCACGTAGGAATGTTTGGACAGCTCCTTTCTTACTCTCACCGCTGTGAATACAAGTGAGTTGAGAAAAGAAATCGAAAGACAAGCGAACGATTTGACACTCACTAAAATCCAAGGGAAGGTGGTTGCATCCAGATCAAACGTCAAGTCTGGTGATTTGGGGCAAGCATACAATGAGCTTTCTTGGTTCACCACGGTAGTGGAATTCGTCCACGTTTCTGTATCGTTCAAAACCATGTTGGTGTCGGTATCACTCTCCGAAGAGCAGAACGCTTGTTTATCAATGTTAGCTTCTCTGTTTGCTCAGTTTAAAACATGTCCCGACAGCGGAGTAAAATATCTTATATATACACATAGAGCAGAGAATGAACTCTTACCAGCTTCCGTGTTCCTTAACTCTGCCAAAAGAAGGGATTTCCATTTGCTACAAAGGGTTCTGAATCGTCAAGCAAACTCATTGTATTCTCCTAGAAAACTATTATTTTCACGATCATGAAGGAAATACCACATTGGAGATGGGATCTACGACGGAATGAACCGATCCAATTGTGACAAGTCCAAATTTAATTCCTTGAAAAGAAGACCATTATATCTGTAAAGTATAATGGCAGATGAATGTTGAATTTGGTGCTATACAAAAGCTTGTCGCAATAAGCCAGGTGGGAAAAAGAGCCGGATTATTTAGGACCAAATCATTAAATACGGAGAAAGGAACAGTCTACAAGTAAATCCAACCAACCAGTGCTCTATTAAACGAAATGAAGACCTGTACACTTCATTATTTGCCATTGAAATTCATAAAACAATAATATTTCATGGTTTAAAAAGGCCCATAAATTTGTAATTACTCTTGATAAGAAATTCACTGCAACTCGGTCTAGCTATAATGCTTGACTTTGGAAAGCTCAATAGAGCTCGCTAAGATCTCTCACAAATGCATGTAATAGTTGCAAAATACTAACAATACAAAGTGGGCGAGAAAAATTATAAAATTCCAGAAAAAGAGAGGAAAAGATGAAAATTCTACCTGTGCTTGTGTTCAATGAAAAGATCTTTTAGCTATTGTAGCGGCAACGAACAGATGAATACACCATAAGTTAAATAGAGTTCAGAATCATTCGTATGCAATTTCCCCACTTGTTTAGCGTTTCCTGTCTGTCTAATTGGACGGTTTTTTATTCATTTATGGTTGTGACTCTTTTGAATCATATGGCTCAAGTTCTTTAAATGTAAACTTCTCATCAACAATGATGTTCTCGAACAGAAGACTAAAATGCTAAGAAAGTTATTAGCATTGCTCAATAAAAAAAATGACAATTTTTAATGGGATTTAACCATATTGCAAATGCTTTCAATGGAATTGAAAAAGAATGAATGCGAAAAGAAAATCTAAATTTAACAGCATTGGCTGGTTCACTTATCTCGACTGCAAGGTTTCGATAATCTGCCACAAAACACGCCGTCGGCACTTATCAGTCGAGGTAGGCGCTTATTAGCTCTTCCTACCTATGCTATGGAAAAGTGCATTGACGCGGTGAGGAAATGGATGATTCAAGATCGGTTGATGATCAATGATGATAAAACGGAGTTTTTGTTAGTCGGCACACGACAACAGCTTGATAAATTAGATTCGTGTTCCATAACTGTGGGCAATAATCGTATCAGTCCAAGCCCATGTGTTAGAAATCTTGGATCCTGGTTTGACAGCAACTTAAGCATGACTGATCATATAAACAAGGCTTGTAATGCGGCATTTTATCATTTACATAACTTGAGACGTATTAAGAAATACCTGTCGAGAGATTCTTTAATTACTTTGGCTCATGCTTTTATAACCAGCCGTCTTGACTATTGTAATGGTTTATTGTTTGGCTTACCAAATGTGCAGATCGCTAAATTACAGCGTGTACAAAATGCAGCAGCAAGACTTATTGTTGGCTTTGGAAAGTTTTCTCACATTACACCGGCGCTTTAATTTATGAGCTGCACTGGCTGCCAGTTTCTTTGCGTATTGACTATAAGATTTTACTTTTGACTTTCAAATGTATTTATGGCCTAGCGCCAACTTATCTTAGCGATCTTATTAGTATAAAATCGAATTCATTATATAATCTTAGGTCTACTGGTAAGCTCTTATTGGACCATCCCAAGGGAAAGATGCTTACAACATTGGGAGCAAGATCATTCTCAGCAGCAGCTCCGAAACTCTGGAATGAGCTACCTGTGGAGCTTCGTCAAGCAACATCACTTAACAGTTTAAATCTCGACTTAAAACCTATCTTTTTAAGAAGTATTTTTTATAGTTTGTAACTTAGTTTATTTTATTCTCACGGTAATGTATTTTCGTTTTCTTTTAAACATATGATTGTAAAGCGCTATTGATCAGCAAATGTAAATACGCGCTATATAAATTGGTAAATTATTATTATTAAATTATTATTACCTACACGACGGGCGCTTATTCCAGGTGGGCGTTTAATCGAATACATACGGTGAATTTTCTTCAAGAGTGGTGCACATTCTAAACAACTGTTCTTTTAAGTTGCCTTCATTGTAAGTACATAGTTTGGGGGCAATACGTTTTTGTAACTACCAGGATTATTTCAGTATCCAAAGACGTTCGATCACGTTCACAGGATTTTTCAGCCTTTGTGAAATGTTCCAGCTTGTCAAGGAGATCGGTACTTTGAACGATTTGACTCACTTTTTGAAGCCGCTGGACGTAGGAAATAAATTTCTAAACCTTAAGTACCTGGAACTTGTTTTCCACCCGTAACGTTGTGAAACTTAGATGTTAGTAAAATAAAGATGAACCCGATTCTAAAAACTGTTCGTCGTTAAATTGTTAAAAGTTTTTTTTTTTCATTTTCCTCACAGTTTATATTATGACCAAATATTGCTCTGCACAAATAGAAGACCAAGTGTTATGCACAACTGCCTTGCACGACTGAAGACTTATTAAAACAAGATTCGCCAAGAGCAAATTGTTCTGGCTAGTTACGCTCACTGAGACCGAGTAAAGTTCGATTTCCAGAATCACCATATAAGCGATGTGAAGCTTCTTTATTCCTGGTCCCTCATCACAGTACTTTTTCCAGCAATCGAAATACTCTCTCAAATCTGAAATTTTAACGCAAGCCCACAAACCAAAGCTCGACCTTGATGTTACGAGTACGAAAAGATTCAAGCGCGTCAAATTTTATCCCAGATCGGAGTATGGTTGTAGAAAGTCACTTGACGACACTTAGTTCACTTCTGAAGCAGATTACAAAATAGACTAGTACCTTTTTTTAAGGCAATGAAGCATGTATTTCGTAAATATAGGTTCTATTTAATGTTAAAAAACTTTAAGTTTTGACGCCTCGTTTCATTAGATTTACATTAATTTTTGAGGGCATACAGAGACTTAAGGTCAGCTATTAATTCACTCGAGGTCTTTTAGGCAATCAGTGGGCCCCCGACACTCTTCACAAGAGGATTGATTTCAGTGTTTAAATAAATGTACTTCCACTATTAGCTTTAGGCCCTCTTGACACTGTTCGTAAAAATAAATGTTTTGATAAGAGGTCCTGCTAAACTGAGGATTGTTTAGGTTGAGGTTTTATTAAACAACGGCCAAGACTTGTATAAGTAACCGGCCAAAATGTTTACTTAAACTAATAAAATGGTGAGAAACGTGTTGGTCTATGGGTAAGTGACGGCTGAACTTACGTTCCAAAGGTTATGGGTTAAGCCCGTACGGTTTAATGTTTCAAGGGCGTAGCTAGGGGGTCCTGGGATGTCCATGACTCTCCTTTTGTAAGCCTTCTCTTGTCACATTAAGTAAGACACGGCGCTAAGGTCGACAGGACAATCTGGTGAGTACTTATGTACGACAAAGTGTGATCCCCTCTCCCCTTAAAACATCCTGGTTATGCCCGTGTGAAGTGTCCTCAGAAAGAACGCTTTTCTCTCACAATGCCTTTATCCCTCAAGGAGTAGAAATACTTAACCCTTTAACTCCCAGATCAAATTTGTCATTCTCCTTACTGTCAACCATACAATTCTTATATTAGTTCAGAGAATTTAGTATTGGATCAACTAATTATCCGTAAGTCGATATTTTTCTCTATTCTCCTCACACTTGTCTGGTTGATATTGTATTGATATTGTAAGGAGAAATTTTTGTCTAAGTCACTCATGGGAGTTCAAGGGTTACCAGCCAAACTGTAAGGGAAACCTCAAGAAATATTGGGGATACAATAAAAATTTTTGAAGGGGGAACGGGGAAGGAAGATGGTTGAATGCAATGAACGTGCATTCCTTTATGGAAGTCATTCTTGTATGCAGACGTTTCAATATTATTGCTCATTGATAATAAAAAGAAGATCACCATTTTTGACATCTTCCCGGTGATACAATCAGTTCTAGGAGATTAAGACCCCACCCACCGGCACCAGGTGTCAATTATGCACGCAAACAAACAAGCGATGCTTTGTCGCTTGTATTTGTGTCATGCTTCAAAAAGCAGTTGTGGTTTTTGGTTTGGGTGGGGGAGTGGGAGGTGGAGTGGGAGGGGAGTGGGAGGGGAGTGGGAGGGGAGGGGGAGGGGGAGGGGGAGGGTGAGGGTGAGGGGAGGGGGGAGGAGAAGAGGGAGGGGAGAAGGACAGAAAGAACTCGGCAAAGAAATGGTACAAGGATGAACTGATGAGAAAAGGTCAAAACACAAAAGAGGAAGCACTGCACCACACAAGGGCAGAAACGAATGCAAAGAAAAGAATGAGAAGCAGATACACTAGCCTTCCCACCCTTCCTTCCATCCTCTAAATGGAATAACCAATAACAGCGCCACTAAAGAGCTTCTGTTCGAGTTGAAGGTAGCTCCAATCATGGAAAACAAAGATGTTAGGAGTAAAAGGCAATCATTTTGGTTTACGAAAAATTACTTAGACGTCTTTATTTTAACAGCTAAGTTATTACATTTTGTTGGTTAGTCAAGTGACCCCTACCACATCAGCTACTACTCAAGCTTGGGAAAATTCACCAATTAACCCCAATGCTTGGAATGAGTAAGGACTTTGCAATAATCAAGATAACCCACTATTTCCTTCACTATACATTATTCTAGCTATAGCTAGGATGTGTTATCATCAGATAAAAGGTAAGGATGTGTTGGGTGCACCATTACCCCTGTTCATCACTCTGGCTGAGGGGTGATACGCATGTATCCTTTGCCTGATGGCACATCCTTGACTGTAACACCTTTTGGAAATAGTTTAGGCACATCTTCTGATTTAACAGTAGGAAGAACCATACAATTTCCACCAGTCTACAAGGTAAAAATCATACATCAAAGCTGTTTTATCAACAACAAAAAGTTGCACTCTAGCTATGTTGAAAATGTATAAAGGGGAACTGATGGCTCACCTCATGATACATCTAACAAACCAGAGCCCCCTTAAAGCTTAATGTTGTGACAAGTAGCAAAAAGTTCAAAACCAGAACTATCAACCTGTTTATATTACATCACCACTGATGTACACATTGCTTTAAGGCTTATTTCAATTACCTTTTTGCTTCATTGTCACATGAAAATGCCCCACATTTCAGTGGAAACATGCTTGAAAAATTAAAGTAGATAGATCAAATACCACCAATAAAGAATCATTTCAATTCAATGAACAGGCAAAACAGAAATTCAAGATAAATATAGACAAATTAAGACAAGGCAAGTAATAGCCTTCACTTTGAGGAAACTCATTCTCTGATATTTGTTCACAAATAATATCTGTTCTAAGAGTTAGGTAAAATATTTGATGAATTAAAATAGTTGGTGAATCTACTGTGGCTTAAGTAAAGTTTCAGATCTTGATGGGACAATTGAAGTTAGGTTACTCCTGTCTCCTTATAACTCAACAAGCACAAACCCTGAAGTATAAGGGATAGTTACCTTCCAATCAGCTGGAGTAGCAACTTTCTTTGTGGCAGTCAACTGCAATGAGTCTATCACACGCAGAATTTCACTACAATAAAAAAAAATAAGTTTCATCTAAGCCACTCAATGTGAAGCATAGGAGTGTAATGAAATTTCTGGAAGGGATGTGGGATAAAAAATCTTTGAGTAAAAAACAATTTACTTGAGGTGCATTTGATTAATGCAACTGAGATCTACGAAATTCAAAGTTCATGCAATGAATACAGTATTACTACAAGTATATATTAAATTAAATACTAAAAACATTTCACAACTAGTGACCCTAGAAACTGAAAACAGAGAGAGAAGAAACCCAACATCATAATGAAAATTCAGGGATTACATAGCATGTGTGAAATTACTACAAATGCTAAATAAATAAATAAATAAACATGTTTTTAAGAACATGATCACATTTGTGTGATGCCTTGCTCCTTCAAAAGTTTGACTTAATTTTTGACAACTTTGAACCTCGTTCCAAGTCTTCTTGAATACCTCAATTTGTAATAAAGTTCAGATTTAGTATACGCTGCTACTGGTTGAAAGCTGTTGCGCCAATTTGTACCTATGTCCGACCATTTCCCAGTCTTCTCTCTGATCTTTTTTCATTAATTGAAAGTAAAATTTTGGAACAAAGCAGGCCAGCAAGTAGCAACAGAAGAACCAAAGAAAGGTTTGTAGACGTGCCAAGCCCCATAATTGACATTATTGTAACTTGAGCAGAGACAAAATCCTCAAAGAGAAAATGATATGAACAGTCCAAGTATTGAAGGTTTTCGCGCTCAGTTACATATGTACAAACTTGACTATGTCTCATGTTTCTCCCTACACTTCTTTTGTACACTGGCCACTTCCTATGTGCTTTACTTATAATAGAACAGAGCCACGATCAAGGCTTCTTGATTTGCTAACTAGTGAAGTGAGATATCATTGAGAGCAACATAAAACTCAGTTGCATGACAAACTTTGATTTTTGTTATTTACAAGTTTCTATGAAGGGCACATCAATTGATTAATTTGTTTACTTACTCAAAGTTACGTCCAGTGGTAGCTGGGTAAAGAAGAGACAACTTGAGCCTCTTGTCTGGTCCAATGATGAACACCTAAATGAAGGAAAAAAGGCAAAAATCCATTCATTTACAAACTATAGTTATCTCTGATGGAAAAAAATAATCAAGACTTGATCTCCTCAAAGAAAGTCATCATATAAAAAAAAAAAACCAAGGCAAGTTCAAATTCCTAGTCTTGCAAGTTGTCAAAGTTAAAGAAGTTTGTTAAATAAATGAACTTTTTGAATTTTTTTTTACTGCTATTGTAAAGTGCCAAAGCCAATTTTTATTTGAGTTGTAAGCTTTACTAAGAAGCACTCCATTATTATTATCCACAGTTTTGATTCCAACCTTAAAATTTTGATAATGTTAGGATAAAATCTTAGTTTTTCAAAAATTTCAGTCATTTAGAAAAGCCTGTGGTGATTTAAGACCAAACCAGAGACCTGGCATGATCTCACAGTCATGCAAAAACTGTAAAAGGTTTGATTCCCAGACATCACATGTAAGTTGATAATATGTCTTTCTTTTTAGTCTCTTTAATCAACAGGTTTTTTTCAGATGCTAAATTATTCCCTCTCAGGGTGGGTAAGGCAAATTTTTGGTGTCACACCTCTGTCAAAATAAACATCACTTTACCCACAAATATTAACCCATAAATTTAACAAAATGAACTTACAGCACGGGCAGTCAGAGGCAGACCTTGAGCATCCTTCTCATCTGGATCAATCATGCCAAGTTTGACGGCAAGTTCACGCTTTTCATCAGCAATGATAGGATAAGGAAAATCCCCACTAAGCCCGCTGTAACCTTGTATGTCTTTGATCCAACCTTTGTGAGACTCAACTCCATCACATGACAAGGCAATAAGTTTAACACCGCGTTTTTCAAACTCGGAGGTTAAAGCAGCAGCACGTCCCAACTCAGTGGTACATACAGGTGTGTAGTCTGCGGGATGTGAGAACAGGATAGCCCACCTAACAAAATGAATACAATTTCTTATCATCACTGACTGAAATTTTCAGAATTCAGATTTGTGATTTTAAGGATTGCAATGTGAATAATGGTCCTAAGAGTCATGTAATTTCCAGAAAAGCCATGTTTCAAAGAAAACTAGAGCTTAAAACATCATCTTTGCATGCCATAGAGTTTTAAATTCTCTATCACCAATTTTAACAAAGGGCCAGTTGAACCCAATTCCACAACATCATAGTTTCTTTAACCCTTTACGCCTCAGCATCAGTATCCATATTTTCAATAATGCTCTGTACACATTTCATAAGTTACTGACAAGGAGAGTTTGTTTAACAATCAACAGCTTCTTCAGTTGGTGGTAATTTCCTTTACTAACTAATAATATACAAGAGGAATACAGAAAATACAATCAGAGATACCTATGGCCAAATTGTGCATAAAGTACTTCACCTAGGGATGAAACATGGTTTTGAACTTGTAATTAATGGTCTTAAAGCAATGCAAGGTTGCTTGATCTTATCTCAAAAACCAAGCCTCTAGGAAGTTACAGAGAGATCCACAATAATTATTATGGTGACCATCCAACTCCACAGAATAATAAATACACAATTTATAGTCTACAAAAACAGCACAAAATAGTATCCTGTATTAATCGAATTTCGATTCGCAAAATTAATCAAATTTAGACAAATCTTTCTTTCCTTGCAGAAGCCTAATTCCATTATTTTCCATTCTCACATCACATGTTGCCACACATTTGTTCAATAACTATTGAAAAATTATATTTTTCATATTTGTTGTTGTGGCTTTTCTCAAGGCTAGAAAACCATGCATAAAACTACAGTTTATATGATAAATGTTATTATGAGGGTTAGTCCTTTACCAAAGAGTAACAACCATCTAATTTCTCCCAACAACATTACCCCTGAATCACACATTACAGTTACAAGAATAAAGGAAAAGATCACCAAAGAAGACACTCTTGATTGTTAAACAGATTCTCCTCCTCAGTGCATTGGGAAATGTATAGAAAACAGTAAGGGGAATATACATACTGATATTAGGGTGCTATTGATGAAATTGAAGTCCACTGAAAACAGGGTGTAAGCTTAAATATGAGGTGTGGTGAATACAGGTCTTCACGTGTATCATTTGCTAAACAAAATTCTAATGAAGGGCTTAGTGGCGGAAAAATTAATTCAGTCATCAAGGCGACGTTATTGAGATGCAAATTACGTGTAGCAATTCCTTTGTTCATCTACACCAGCACCATGAGGCAAATTCAAATTAAATGTCTAGTGATTCAAACAAGCCAATTCCTTTAAGTCATAGCGAAAGGCCAACTTCAAACCAGTCAAAAGGAATCATCTAATTCTGTTGCCATTTACACTGTTGTCAATTCATTTCTTTCACGAGCAAGGGAAATAACCAGTATGCGTTCAATCGAGGAGGTCGGGTGTGTTTCCCATAACAGCATCTAATTAAATTATAGCCTACAACAGACGTGCCGCTAATCGCACCGTTATCATAATTCGTACATCGTAAATTTTACCGTTAAGGTAACAGTTCATGATGTTTGAATATAAATCCTGTCGTATGTATTCTAATTATGATACAACATTCTGACCGATACGCGCTGTGATTGACACGATCGAATTAACTTAACGGGCAAACCCCCAAAGTATTGGTCGTTTAGGTTGAATTGTAGGTAAAGGAAATGTCCAAGTGCCAATATATTTTTCAAAGGAATCGGAAAAAAAAAAACTTCCCTGACGTTCTATGCCATTTTAACATTTGCTTAGTTAAAGTGAGTCAGCACTTTGCGGAAAGATGTTTAATTACCACCCAGTATGTAATGTTAGTTCCGAATGACTGAAAAGAAAACCACAATTTTAAAAGGCTTCGACACTTGATTTCCGCGTGACACAAGAGTTAATTTTAGTTACGCAGCTACATCGAAAACGAGAACGAAGAACATCAATCACTACTCAGTACACCTCTGCACATACATGCTGTAGGTACGTGAAAGTTTCGCTCTACTCACGTGCCCTCTATAAATGTGTGGAATTGGATAGTTCCTTTGCTTGTGTCGACTTTGAAGTCGGGGAACACATCTCCAAGATTCACCATGACTGCTCTCCAAAATGTCTGCTTAACTGCTGAAAGTGTGCTAGTCACGTTTTACTTTACAAATAATAAAATTCACACCGACCAATAGCGATTTACCAACGTACAACAAAAATTCCCTTCACTTGATTGGTCAAAAGGAAACATGACAGAGTCACGCAATTTTCAAGGAGATAAAATGAACGGGAAAATGGCAATCACGGTATTTTTTATTCTTTCGAAAATCAGGTCCTATGAGGAAACTTTTATCAACTTTCACTGAAAAGCTTGACGATAAACAGATAATTTTAAAGCTGACCAACCGTGACGGCCTCAAAGAATGCTGTTTGTCACACAGCGACAGATCCCGTATGATATTTCCGTAAGTACGCGGAAAAAACTAATTTTAAGAGTGACAGTAATACTGGATATCTTGTTTTGACGGCTATGCTGAGTGCAAGTCTCCAATGCTCTTAGGCGCTGTTCGCATTTTTGTTCTAATTTTGACTTTTCAAACCAATTCGCAGATGCTTCGGATGCTTTCGGGAGAGTCTTTGAGGATACATTTGGGTATATAGTTTTTGATATTTGACTCACTCTTGAAGTGGTCCCTAAGACGGTCGACCAAGAACATTGGACAGTGGCCAGATAGCTTCAATATCGAATGCCTAACATTACCGTTTCAGCTACACGGACTGTAAAGGGCGCGATTAACAACAATGGCAGGCCCTGATAGGACGTGACGAGAGGGAGGGGAGGGGGTGCAGAGGGGGGGTTTGGGTTATTGAGAGGGAAGGGGGCGGTGAGGGAGGCTGCGTCATTAAGAGTAAGGGAGGGAGTGAAGAGAGGGAGGTTGGGTTATTGGGACTGGAAATTACTGGTGAATAAAGGGAGGTTGCGTCACCGAGAGGGAGTGGAGAGAAGGAGGTTGGGTCACTGAGAGGGAGTGGAGAGAAGGAGGTTGGGTCACTGAGAGGGAGTGGAGAGAGGGAGGTGACGTGACTGAGAGGGACTGGAGAGAGGGAGGGTGGGTCGCTTAGAGGAACTGGACAGAGGGAGGTTGCGTCACTGGGAGAGAATTTCAATCGCCGTTTTTATTTTGAAATACGCTGCGGGCTCTTCACAATATGACACAACTCGTAAAAATACTCAGCGATATTACACATCAAAACGACGAATAAGACATAATTTTTCTGGTGAGCTCCGGCGATATACAAAAAACTGCCATTTATGAGTATCTATGCATGCAGCTGCCTTGATCTCATTTAAAAAAGGTGCTCATGCAATACTGAGAATGAGGCAAATAGGAGTCTTAAAGAGACAAAATAGGAAATCCTCAAAAAACTGCACTGATGGCGTAATTTTTTTTGCAATTGCAAAGAGATCTGTGAAGATATTACAATATTTAATAGGGTGTCAATTGCCGTAGCTTCTCCATAACTACCAGGTAAAAGGAATTAGCCTCTGAAAACAAAGTTTATATTTGTAGAAATGGTTCAGCCAATAAAATCACAGATCACCAGCTGACCAAAATTCCTGAAGAAGGATTCAAGTTTAAAAAAAGTATTTACTGCTGAGAATAAAATTAACAACAATAATAGTACTAAGAGTAAAATTAAAGTAGCTGTAATAATAACGATAATGAGATTTAAAATAGTAACAATTTTTATTTATGTAGCATTTTATATTTTCTCTCTTGTTTTAAGTCCAGGATGTATGGAGATAAACATGATATAATTTTTTTTATATAATTAAATCAAAATTAAAAAAATAATTTTTCTTTTAGCAATGTAGTAAGTAGGTAGGATCTGGATTTTCACAAAGGTTGTATTATAACAAAAATAAAAATAGTAACGATGATAATGATAATTATAAAAATAAAGATAATAATAAAGACTTAAATAATAATGATAACAATAAAAATTAACATATAAGAAAGCAACCCAGGCATTTGTATTAAAAGGTTAAGTTTTCATTTGTCTATTAAAAAAAAATAATAAAGAAACTAGTGATATTGAACTTGTACAGTTGCCGTAATAGATATATATTTTAACGCTTGATTCAGCAATCGGTCCAACACTTCACTCTTCAACAAAAAAAATTTTGTACCGAGAAAATTGTAGACGAAGAAGAAGAAGATCGTTAAACCAGTTGCTGAGAAAGAGCACTTAGAAACGGGAACATTGCACGATAACTTTCCTACTTCCAGTGTTGTTTTTCTCGTGAATTTTCTTCAATGTTTCAGGTTCCATTAGTCAAATTTATTTTTTCAAGGTCCTCATCATTGATCAGTTGGCAAATCTCAACAGGCAAATAAAACTTTTGCAACGAAATTTTAACCTGATCAGATGATGAGATTCAACTAAACCCTCAAAATACATTTCTGGGCTGACGTAATATCATTTGATTTTAAAATCTATTTACAAAAATTGTGTATTATCAACAGAGCATTAGAACACATGCACATAAAATGCTAACCCAGCGAATATTAGTAAAAATCAGGTACACATTTGATTAGCCAATAACACTGCGTTCTTGCATCATATTGTTCTGAAGATGTTGCCGCTCGGTGGACGATTAGCCGGAAATTTGTGTACGAATGAATTGCCTTTGACTGAAATTGTTAATTCAAGTGAGAGGCAGACTCGTATCTAGTCGCTTCTTATTTGCGAACTGATTGATGGGAAGAATTTATCGAGCTCAAGCTGCGTCTAGGCAAGGAGGGAAGAAAAGAGTGACGACGGAGAAAAAAGTGACGACGGAGTACGAGTCCGAGTGAAAGACACGACACTGGTACAACACAAACTCCATTCCACCAAACTCCCACCCTCCCCCGCACTGCAATTTCCCAGATTTCCCTAACAGTTGCTAGTTTGGGGATGACTACTTCGAGCGCTGTGTTTCTCGCCTAACACCCACTCTGACCTTAAATCTAGAGTCCAGAGTCCATTCCAGCATTAACTATGTAAAATGATGACTTAAGTAATATGGTGGCTTATGTAATACGGAGGATGATGATGCCCAGTTCCTCTCACCTCAGTGAAATCTGGATAGGCGGCATCTAACATCATAAGGTCGGTTAGAAATGTGCCTAAGTATGGAATTGTTCGTTGGATAATTCCCTTGAAAAGAAGAAAGATCTCCAGGTACAAATATCTTACAAAAATCAGAGAGAGGAATTCAGGTTTCCGTTTTCTGAATTCGGTCAAAATCAGTTTTTCGGATTTTCCGGCTCGCGCGCACAAAATTTGTGTTTTTGGAGCAATTAATATCTCTATGGAGACACCTTAGCGTAAAAATCTGCTGTTTTTGTGTATTATCGTCCAATATCGGCCGTAAAATAAAACAACTTTCCGCCATTTTCCGAGTAAATCTTTCATTTTCGAGTTGTTGTCAGGAAGGTAACTCGAAACAACGAGAACTCCAGTTATTTGCCACTTAACTGGCAAGTAATTATGCGCTTATCGAAATATCATCAAGACAAAGGTCGTCTTTCTTTCCGTCAAATGGAAAATTGAGTACTTATTCGATCATCAAAAGTGCGTCACTAATAGCAGATGTACCGCCTCAAATTGTAACTGTTAGTACGTCTAACAGTTTTTCTCGAGTGATTATGATGTTGCTTCGGAGTGTAAAAACTCCAAACGAGAAAAAAGAATACCCACGAAATCTTTCGTTAAATGAAGTAAAGAGTTTTTATCGTAACAAGCTCCCAGTTGACTTGTCAGCTCTTGGTTAATATCACACTGTCGATATCGGAGGAGGGTCGTTTGTTCGAAATCTTTTCCGCATTCATTTTCACAACTACATCTGTTTTAGGAAAGATGTTTTTTCGTCTTGTCACGAGCGTGGGACAAAGAAAAAATGCCGAGTCCCCATGAGGAATCGAACCTCAGACCTTCTTAATTTTTTAGCGAGCTCAAAACTTACCGTCCCTACTATTTCTATCTACATCGATTTAGTTTTTAGCTTCAGCGAAACGGTATCTCTCTGAGAGCATCTCTATTCCGCAATTCAAATATATGATTTCGATTGATTAAGTTTTGTTGTATTCGCTCTTCACGAGCGTATTGCGAGATTGGCAAGTAGTTATGTACTTATTGCAATATTATCAGGGCGAGAGTCGACTTTCTTTCCGTCAAATGGGAGATTGAGTACTTGCTATTTGCTATGGTAAGTCATCAAGATTATTATCAGAAAAGCCGATGTACCGTCTCAAATTGTAATTTTCAGTTTGTTTCACAATTTTTATCAAACGATCATGATGTTGCATCGGAGTGTAAAAACTCTGAGGATGAAAAAAATAAAATATCCACAAAATCTTTCGTTATATCACACTGTCGATATCGCAGGAGGGTCGTTTGTTCGAATTCTGTCCAAGCCTGAATGATGTTTTCTTCATTTTCACAGCTACTCCGATTCTATTTCCAACTTCAGTTAAACGATATCTGTCTACAAGCATCTTTATTCCGCAATTCAAATATATAATTTAACTTTTGCTGTATTCGCCCTTCACGCGCGTATTGCGTTAACTGCCATACAGATCATTTCCTCACAGTTGTTTTACTATCTCAGCTGTTAAACTATCGCCCGACTATTATGGGTTCGAGTCCAGTCTGGAGCTGACATTTCAATTATTAATATTCTACAGCAGTTGTATTCCTGACTATAATTTTCTTTCATTACATAATATTGTTTTTTGATATTGTATGAATTACGATTTACTAAAGCTCAAAAATACTGAAAGAAATTAGTCGCTTTCGATTTTAAATACTTCAGCTTAGAGACCTGAAACTTTCGAGAAATCTTTCGGTCTACGTTTCATTTCAGTCACGTTTCTCGAAAAGTAGAAAATGTCTTGTCACTCAACTTGAATAAAAACCAACGCTTATAGCCTCGAGAACAATATCAGTGAGCAATTTGCCACGCTTTGCAGTTTTATTAAAAAGTGATTTTTTAAAATACAAACAGCCATAAACACATTCTTTCAATAAAGTTTCATTATTTTAATTTAAGAGATTTACAACAAAATATATTTCCAAATATAAATAAGAGGAAACATAACTAAGCCAGAAAACAGGAATGTAATTCAAGGGCGCCTCAGCCAAAGTTATTCCGAGATTTACTATTTTTAGCAAGAGGAAAATATTTCCTCGTCAATGTTTATATGAGACCTTACTTCGACAAGCACTCCTTAACATGCCAATGTTCAGGATTTTGTTATAATATTCAAAACTGAATTTCGGTTTTATGAATCAAAAAGAGCTGTTTTCGCTTTTTGTAAGGTATTTGCCTTTTCTTTCTCACGGGTGTAAGATCGCTTTTTCGTTTTTTTATGGAAATATTGGCCATTATTCCGGTTTTCGATGCGCAACAATAGTGCTTCGAGACATATCTCAGCATTTTGACTTGATTTTTCGCAGTGTCCTACTTTTTCTCGTTGTGTTCACTGCTAGCTACAAGACAAGGAAGCGGAGTTACCTAAGATGGCCGACGATCTTGCATCGAGAAGTTTAGCACTGGTTATCCTCGAAGGCTCCTCTTTGGTCATTTTAAACCTCTTCTCACTGGCAGGAAATATCATGGTTTGCTTATCTGTTTACAGAAATCCAAGGTTACGCACTCACACTAATCTTTACATCATAGCATTGGCTGTGAGCGACTTGCTCTCCGCTGTCTTTGTGATGCCTCTCGGTGAAATAGTACTGTTCGCAGGAAAATGGCCGCTTGGAGAAGCCATTTGCGAATTTCACGCCTTCATGAGTCTCTTCGTGCTCTACGTCTCACCGGCAACCATGGGTTTAACAGCTGTGAACCGATATGTTCGTATGTGCAGATCAAACGCAACCTACCAGAAAATATTTTCACCCAGAAAGTCTCGTTTATGGGTGCTCCTCGTCTGGTTGTTTGTGGCTTGTTACACCGCAATTCCAAAACTGGCCAAATTGCAAGACTATGAGTTTGTGCCTGGCTATGCGCAATGTTCTATCAAACACCTTGGGGAACGCGGCAAGCTAATCCACTACATAATTGTTTTAACACTTTTTCTTGTCATCCCTATGGTTGCCACAGCTTTTTCTTACTCGAGAGTTCTAAAAGTTGTTCGTCAACATCTGACAGAGATTTCTCCCTCGTTGAGACGACTCGGAGGGAACGACGCACGCGTTTCCATTCAAGAAATTCGACTGAGCAGGTCGCTATTCATTGTTGTTTTTACCTTTTTGGCATGTTGGATTCCTCTATGGGTTATAGTCATAATGAGACGTTTTTCATTAGTATCACACATGCCAAGAAATATAGAACTGTTGTGCATGTTTTTTCTTTACGTTTCAAACACTATCAATCCCGTCATATATGCCGGAATGAATTCTACATTCAGGAGCGAGTTTCGCCGTATCATATCTTGTGGGTGGATGACTTTGTGCGCATGCACCCAGCGACAAATTGAACAAGAAGAACACGAACTTGGCCCAGTGATGTCTAAGTAACAAGGTCTGTTACAACAAATTTATTTTATTTGACAATTTAAATACACATGTAACAATCCCTACCCACAAAATAGCGAAGCTAACCGAGGCGGAAGGGAAATAAACATTAAAAATTCTTTAATGACAAGTTGGAATGAACAACTTGCGACAGTTTCACATAATAATCTAATTCAAATGTCGAACAAGACATAATTTTTCTGGTGAGCTTCGGCGATATACAAAACACTGCCATTTATGGGTTTGAAAAAGGTGCTCATGTAACACTACGAAATAGTCTCACAGGAGTCTTAAATTCTTTGAAGTCAAAATAGGAAATCCTCAGGAGACTGCACTGATGGTGTAATTTTTTTTCTTTCAACTGCAAAGAGATCTGTGAAGTTATTACAATATTTCATAGGGTGTCAATTGCCGTAGCTTCTCCGTAACTCCCTGGTAGAAGAAATTAGTTCGTGAAAACAAAGTTTATATTAGTAGAAATGGTTCAGCCAATAAAATCACAGATCACCTGCTAACCAAAATTCCTGGAGAAGGATTCGAGTTCACAAAAGTATTTACTGCAAGAAATAAAAAAAATAACGATAATAGTAAAATTAAAGTGATAACAATAATAACGATGATGAGGTTCATAATAATTTCAAATTTTTTATTCATAGTAACAATTTTTATTCATGTAGCATTTTATATTTTCTCTCTTGTTTTAAGTCCAGGATGTATGGAGATAAACATGATATAATTTTTTTTATATAATTAAATCAAATTTAAAAAATAATTTTTCTTTTAGCAATGTAGTAAGTAGGTAGGGTCTGGATTTTCACAAAGGTTGTATTATAACAAAACAAAAATAGTAACGATGATAATGATAATTATACAAATAAAAATAAAAATAATAAAGACGAAAATAATAATGACAACAATAATAGATAGATAAACATGATATAATTTATTTTGCATTACTATATCAAAATTAAAAAATATTTTTCTTTTGGCAAAGTAGTAAGTAGGTAGGATATGGATTTTCAAAAAGATTGTATCATAACATAAATGAAAATAATAATGATGATAACAATTATGATAATAATAATGATAATAATAATAATAACGACTTAAATAATAATGATGGCAATAATGATTAACATATAACAAGGCAACACAGGCATTTGCATGAAAAGGTTTAATTTTCATTAATCTACTAAAATAGTAATAATAATAAAAAACCCAGTAATATAGAACTTGTACAGTTGCCGTAAGAGATATACGTTTTGACGCTAAATTTAGTAATCAGTCCAACACTTAACTCTTCAATAAAAAATTTTGTACTAAAAATTTTTTATGTATTCAAAAAATCTTAGACGAAGAAAAAGATCGTTAAAACTGTTGCTGAGGAAGAGCACATAGAAACGGGAACATTGCGTAACAACATCCCTACTTCCAGTGTTGTTTTTCTGGTGAATTTCTTAAATATTTTAAGTTCCATTAGTCAAATTCATTTTTTTCAAGGTTCACATCATTGATTAGTTGAAAAATCTCAACAGGCAAATGAAACTTTTGCGGCGAAATTTTATCCTGTTTAGGCAAACTGCATTTCAAAAACCTTTTGAAAACCATTAAAACTTCGCCTTCTCTATGGCTTCTAGATAAACATATTCGCAACTGAAAAAAAAACTTGTAAAAATTATTTCAAGTTATTTAGATTATGTCTCTTTTCCATAAAATACAATTAAAAATGTATTACCTACTTTAGTTATCTTAGTAATGTTTACAAGATTCAACTAAATCTTCAAAATACATTTCTGGGCTGACGTAAGATCATTTAATTTTTAAAATTTATTTACAAAAATTGTGTATTATAACCAGAACATTGAAACGCATGCGAATAAAATGCTAACCCAGCAAATAATTGTAAAAGTCAAGTGCATATTTGACTAGCCAATCACACTGGGCTCTTGCATCATATTGTTCTGAAGTTGTTACCGCTAGGTGGACGATTAGCCGGAAATTTGAGTACGAATGCATTGCCCCTGACGTTAAATTCTTAAATGACGGGCACCTCGTAGCGACTTCTTGGTCAAAGAGTTTCTATTCCTTGCGAGGCGAGAACCTCATTCGGAATTGGCAAACTGTAGGGATGGCTGACCAGGAAGTAGATGAAAACATCTCTTAATCCTGTCATAAGATGTCACCTCTAGTTAAAAGAAATCAGACACATTTTATATATGACATGTTGAGATTTTATCGAATAGCAAATACGATACCAGAGATCTACAACTCAGGCATAATTGAGTTACTAATGCCCCATTCACAACGGCAGTACATATTAAGTTCCACTAGTTCCACCAGGTGGGTGTGGTGGGGGAGGTCAGATAAGGACAAGAAAAACTGTATCAAATAATTGTACATTGCTGTATTATATGATTGTAAGAAAAAGATTGTAATATTACCATAGTGATACGCGTAAAAAGATTGTAAAGTAATATTTTACTGAAATTCTAGTGAAGTAAAAGTTACTAGTTGAAGTTAAAAAAAGATCATACAGATTTTATAAATGACATGTTGAAATTTTATTGAATAATAAACACGACACCAGAGACCTACAACTCAGGCATAATGGCGTAACTAAGCCCCATTCACAACGGCAGAACATGTTAAGTTCCACCAATTGGGACTAAATAAAAATATCACCAGAAAACCTGACTGATTGGTTCGAATGATCACTAAATTCTGTTTCAATTGAGCTAAATGTGAAGTCGACAAACATCAGTTTAAGCCCCTTTCTATCAGGAAAACAATTCAGTTGGTAGTAAATTCCTAACACTCGTCGTTCGGTTGACTATTTCTTTTATTCTCTCCTTAATTACTCAAGTTAATACAACGGAGACTAGCTCTGGTCTCTCTAGGAAAGTGTGAGTCACCGCTTATAAAAGTGACGCTTACCGAGCTGTCAATCTCTAACCTTCGTCATGCTTTTACACTTAACTAGCGAATCACGCTAGCTACGCAGAGCGGAGTTCGCATACTAAGTAGATACCTTCGCGATGTTTACGGTTTACAAAATGACTTTCTACCTTAAGTTTCTTAGTCTTACGGTCAAGGTTGAGCGAAACAGAAACAAGATTGACAATTTAAAAATTATCATAAACTTACTGACAGGATCAAAATCATACTTGAAAAGACACCTTAAAAGAAAATAATATTTGAAGACTGTCGCATAACAGCAGAATAAACAGAAAATTCGGAGAAGAGAGGGCGTACCCTAAAAGAGCGCCCCTAAAAGAGAGGGCGCCCCTAAAAGAGCTACGTGCTAGTCGTATAAGTTATCTGATTACAAATTCAGTGCGGAAGATGAAAAGTGCTAAATGTTTATACTTTGATTCGCCTCTAAGAAAAAGAGGTGTTGAACGTGCTAAATTAAAAACTATTTTCCGGATCGGGAATTCGACATGGATTTGGCCTAAAAACGAGAGTAATAAATGGGTAAAAGTATAAAGGAGGATTATTTCCAGAAAATTCCTGCACGGGATCAATTTTTATACGTTAGGGTAATTTTCTTAGTAATTAATCATCTTTTAGCAACATAATGGAAATATAATGATATCTAGCCACAAACCGCAGCTTACGCAAAAACATTTGTCTCCGTGTCAAATTCACGATCATAATAAGGAAAAAGGTGACCAAGCTCTACCTGTAAGGCAAGACCGCCAAAAGGAATAAGAAATGGTCAACAGGCTTATTACAATGTTTACTGAATGGCTTATGCCAATATATTATTTCCATTCATTTTCAACGTTCACATAAGTCAAAAATCACCTATAATGAAAATTCCTGCTAGATGCCAATTTTGTCTTTTAACACAATTCAAAACGTGTTTTAGCTGTGGAGATAAGTTAGGTTTATGAAATACCTCAATGCCTCACCCTTTTTCTAACAACTACACGAGAAAAAAAATTGTTTAATGAACCACTTTATATTGTAACAATAAAACGTTTCCTGGAAATTTCATTTACGAGCGGCGATCAAAGGCTCAAGTATTCAGTGGCCATTCCAATGATATTCACTAATAAGAACTTGTCCTTCTTCAGTTCAGCTTCTCGAAACGATACTTGTAAAACGCAACTTTACAATAAACATGGAAACAAACTCGAAAACATACCTTAGCTCGGCTTTTCATCTTCCTTTTTCTTGAGTTTGAACAGCAAAGATTCCATACTTGAATTCAGGGCGTAGTACACATTCGCATTGTCTGGTATGACTAGCTCGCCTACAAATGGAAAAAAATCGGAAAATCAAGGCAAGGGAATAACAGGGAAGTCTAGTCTGAGTCTTGATGTCTTTAAAGAGGCTCCATAGTGTTTTTGACCGCGCAAGATCTGGGTGCGAACATAACGCGAGCTTCAAAAGCGTCAACACGCAAAACAAACATGGCGGCTCGATACGATCGCACGATTCTTATCTGAAAAGGTATGTTAAAAACAGTTTAACACAACGCAGTTTTTATGCGACGAAATCGTGGGTTTCCAGCAACTGCACTCGTAATATTCATAGGCCTTCTACGCCTGAAAAAGAGGTCAACTGAAAAGAAAACACCGCGGGAAAGATTGCTAAAAGGCGACAGATCGCGACAGATTAGAAAGTTTACGCATGCTCAGATATATATCTTGGCGAAGTTTTATTCCATTACCTTATGTTTTGCGACAAAGAAGACAGAGATCTTTCGAGCATGATTTCTCACCTTTCCTTCGGTGAAATTTCCTAAGATTTTCTGGACCGTTAAACATATTTGTGTCGTTCCTAGTCGGCCTGTTGATAAAAAAAAAATTATACGACCAAACTTGAGATGGACGAAGAAAAAACAAAATTGCAAATAGCGAGGAATAACCCCTATTTTTTCGGCTTTTAAATGATTGGCAGGACAAATTTCACAAATTGTGAAAACTATGAGATTTCACTAAAGAAAATTGAAGAAAATCAAAGGCAAAGCCAGATTAACATTGGCGAGCGCCTCTGATTCGTGGAGCCTTCGCTTAGTAACGAAAATAATTTTCTTAATGTTTATACGGCAAAAGATAGTCCGAACCTTCGTCATTGACTTTAGATGGCTTTTGATGACCTAGAAAAGCGAGAACATAAAAGTTTTCTGCGCGCGCGCCAACATTGAGCAAAAACCCTACGGAGCCTCCTTAAGAAGAACAATGCGTGCATGGTCGAAGAAACTATGTACTAGCTTCAAAGGGGGGGGGGGCGGCATGGGTTGCAAGCGACTCCATCTCTGTCAAGAAAAACTCCGAGATCATAACAAGAAATCGGCCTCATTTGCTTGCATGAGCCAATAAGCGCTGCTGTTTGACACCCCCCCCCCCTCACCCCCTTTGCCCATCAACGTAAGTCTGCATAATAGCCATTATATTCTAGCGTATCAGCCCAAAAGACAACAGAGAACATTTTACACTTTAGTAACTTTCAAAATCAAACTTTAATTTTCTTGTGGATCAGATCATTTCTTCCCCTCAACACAAATACGCAATGACACAGCAGACCATAAGAAAAAAATAAACTCAAGTTGTTCACCCTTTTAAACTCAGACTTACCTCCATTATCAAGAATTTGAACA